CTGCAACGTGCTACGGTTATGAGCCAGGTTACACCATGTAGCAAGTTTTGTGAGGTGCTTTTTTGATATTTAATGGATCGGATTACATTTTTTATTTCTCGCCGATATCCGATCCAGTAATTTGGGTCAGTATCGGACCGATACGTAATATCGGATCGGTCCATCTCTAGTAAATAAATAAAAACAGTTTTAGTAATGTATTACACATATCTGTAGTTTACATACTTTGGGTTGGGTGTTTTTTACAGAAGTGATAATTGTTTCTAAAATGTTTGGTATTTCTACCTTTTGCTCAGATTTTGCCCTATATGTCAGCGAAGACCATTCTAGCTGGATAGCATCAATCTAAAACTCAACTAGACATTAACTAGATGAATGTTATTGGGCACATAGAGTCAGAGTCCATGTATGTGGGTTGTTTTGTTTTTTCTGCCCTGCAGTGGTAACAAGCAGACATTTGTTGACTTGAGGGATTTGACCTCATGAACATTCCGGCTTTTCGAACTACTCCTTAAGGCAACAGATATACACTCGAAGATACTGACAGCTTCCATATGCTGCATCATTGACTTCTAATCACATTTCAGCAGTGCCAGAAGTCCCCAAAGACAGGGAATCAATGTGTTCCTTGACCAGGCTGGGGTTAATGTGACAGCTGTGTGTTTGTGTTTTCACACACAAGCCTGGAGACCATATGGGCAATCAAATGACTTGTTTCACATGAGCAGTCGGTCTGATTTCTAGAGCTTCCAGTGTAATTCCTCCATAATCATTGGAGCTTCCTCCTCTCCGGTCCACTTGTCTGCTTTGAGTGAACTCAGTCAATACAGATGTTATTTGAATATTTAGGGGCAGAGTTGAAAGGGCACCACTGCAGAAAGTATGTCCAAAGGGCCTGCTCTTGGCGGCCTTCTGTGTGGATAAGATTGCGCTCAGTCTGAGGTGCACGTCAGATATCATGTGCAGTCATTCATTTTTACAAGCATTTCCAGTCTATCTGCTTTTAAGTGAGACAAAACATATAAAATTAAATTAAAATTAACAGTGTTTCATTCACACTGAGACTTGAGTATTTGCTTTTTGTGGTTGTAACTCTTGATCTTTCTGCTTTCTTTGCTCACTCCAGGGTATACTTCAGGAACCGCTGGGTGAAGACGGTCCACCCAGTGGTCCAGCAGTACTGTCTCATCTCCAGCACACAGATCACTTTCCAGATGCCCACAAGGGAGGACATCCTCAGGCACCGCGTGGTGGTGGTCACCCTCAGCACCTCCCAGTACCTCTGCCAGCTTGACTTGGAGCCTGGTAAGTCGTATGAAAACAAACAAACAAACAAAAAAAAAAACATTAAGTCACGCTGACCTATTGGTTGAGGCAGGCAGCCATTGTTCTCAGCAGCTTTTATTTGGCATACCAGTATTTGCACTTGGATTAAACTTGCCAGCCAGAGTAGCTGACACATTATATATCAGGCATACACGCTGAATGAATGCTGAAGTGTGGTTTGTGTGTGAGATGGGGCTTAATTTAACTCAGGATTGTTCCTGTTTTTTGCATTGCTGATTAAATAATTGAGGTTGAGAAACAGTAGAAAAACAACAACAACAAAAAATTGCTCCGAATTCCCAGAATGGTTAAACCATAATTTCAGCAATTTAATAAATGAGTTTTCTAGTATGTTCTAACGTGAGCATGTGTGTGCACACATTTTTAAAGGCTTGTAAATGTATGCAAACAGAACACAGTCACACTCATTTCCTGTTCTTTGGTCATCCCCACTGACTCTGACAACCGGTGCTGGCAGGGGCCCACCATTTATAGAGGGTTGGAACTCATTTAAGTTATGTAAAAGACATGGAAAACAAACCAATTTGTCAGTGCAGGCTAATAACCGACACTAATGTGTCAGCGGAGGGTTTTGTCGGTTGCTTGGAAACACCATCTGCCTGTTTCTAATGTACTTTACATCATTAGCCCTCCTCCCCACGTTTCATCTGTCCTGTTCTCCTGTTGGTTGATGGTGATGAAAATCTCCAGGAAACGAGACACTTGGGAGCCAGCAAGTCTTCTAAGTAGCGATAACAAATCTCGCACCCAAAACACAGGTCCCCCAAAAGATGATGTTTAGGCTTTTATGTTTGGCTTGATGACTTTGCTCTTTTTTTTGTGGTCTAGGTATGGGATCTGGCATGTAGACATTGTGCATGTATTGTTTAGCATGCCTTTATATATCTTAATAAATTCTTGCTATTATGATATGCAAAAATCCCATTCCCAGCAAAAACAGACATTCTTTGCTTCTACTAATTTGTGCAGCCCTCACAGCATGTTTTTGCCTGGCTGCATTGCCTTTCTCTACTGTGCAAAGTTCTATATACAGTTAGGCCCATAACTAACTCAAGTTGGATTTGTATTTCATTTTTCTTGCAACTTTCCATCTGTGATTTAAAATCCACCCAAGTGGACTGTAAATCAAACCACTGATGTGCTTGAAGGGCAGACATTTAACAAAAGTATTGCATTAACCATTCAGCAATTACAACTATTATTTATACACATTCCTCAAGTTTCAGATGCAAAAAAAAAAACAATCTAGCATAATTTTAAATATAGGGGGTATTTTAGTAATTGGTTGCAAAAGCCTTTGCATTCAATGACTGACTGAAGTTCATGGATGTTAGGAAATGCTGTTTCCCCTTCCTTGAGATCACACCATGCCACAACACATTCAAGTAGATGATCAGAAACTGTCCTTCTGATGGGGGAGTTCCACACAGCTTTCAGAGCTTTGTTACAAAGCTTGCGTTGTAGGTTTAATTACGCACTCCAAGACCCTTTCACACTTGCACACTTTTCAAATCACTTTTACAGTGTGAAAAGAGCCACACAAAAAAAAGACTAAAAGGGAGAATGTGCGAGACTGGGCGTGTGAGTAGAAGAAATTGTCATTTATTATTGAAGAGTAATCTCTCTACCAAATCATTTCTGCAGTTCTGTGCCTCTGATCTCTTTCACCTCTCCTTATTACTCTACTCTCCTCCTTTCCCTTACTGCTGTTTTGTGCAAATTCAAAAACTTCAATTATTAGCCCAGAGACGGATGGTGACAACAAATGAATTTGTGAATAATTTCTCTGAGGCATTTCCAAAGTGCAGTGGTAAGCACCATATAAATTCATTTGTGTTTCTGACCATCTGATGCTCATAAAGACGATCTTTTCTTCCCTCTCACATTGCAGCTAATCTATACTCATCTGCCTGAGAAAATGTTCTCATTTTTGAGTATTATAAGTCAATTGACATGCTTTTAACACATAACTTTATATTTATTATTCTAATATGTTTGCTCTTTGCATAGCAAAATATTGAGTGTATAATAAGGAAATTATTCATCTTAAGGCCTTTTCGTCCCTTTTTTGGTTTTATAACTGGACAAACAGACAATGTTTTTTGTCTTATACATGCTTTTAATTTGCATTGATAATTAAATTTCCCTCCACTGCTTAATAAACTCTAAGTGCATGTACAGATGATGTTGTAGGACTCGCACGGTCAGTTTATAGCAAATAAGAGGAAAAATTAAAATTTAACAACACTTTCTAAAGTTGTTTTCACTAACATTTCTTTGCTCTCTGCATAGTGAAACACTGAAACTTTGCTATGATGCATCCAAATTCATATTTTAAATTAAGATGTAATTATTGAAAAGCCAAGCCAGAGACTATTTATGTGTATTGTTTAACGCACAGTTACATGTAGTTATTTAGAATATTTGTGACCTCTGCAACAAGCATTTTTCCCTTATTAACTGAAAATAAGGGAAACATTACAAGACATAGACTTTATAATTCTGATGGGCCATTTCTCAGTTATACTTTGTATAAACCTACTTATTCATATTCTGTGTGCAGTGCATGGACTGTTGTATCAAAATGTTTACCATTTTATCAGGATCACTGCAGGGAACAGTGCCAGCCTGTGCTTCAGTGAAGTGCATACAGCGTTAAAGGCGATAACACTGGTTTCAGGCTTTGTAGTTGGGGGGGAAAAAAGCCTGCAAAACATATTTTGCAGGCTTTTTGCATTTTCAAAGGCTGATACTAAGGATTGAATGTTGCTTCAAATTAAACTGCTCCACCTCTTTTCTTGCCAGGCCCTTTTTCTTTGTTGTTGTTTGTTTACTTTTTTGTCAGTTTATTTTTTATTTCCAACTGTCAAATTTCATATCTGCATGTCCTTTTCTGTGAAAATAGTGTAGCTTTAGAGGATGTTTGCTGGTTGTTTTTCAGCCTCTCTTCCTTGCTCCTTGTTCTAGCACTCATTTGCCATGCTGTTTTATCCCCCTCCCCTCATTCTGCCGACCTCTGTTAGAGCTTTTTAAGGAAGGGTTAGACTACAAGTTCAGTCATTTGTTTGTGCACAGAACCCTGCCTTTAAGTTGTAAGACTGGTTAAAACAATGGGCGAAAAACAATATAAAGGCCACCAATGAAGAGTGTGTGAGAGAGATTTAAAAAAAACAAACAAACTAAAAAACAGTTTGGTCGTAGAGCATGAATGTTTGTTGTTTCTGTATGACAAATTTGCACGATTTTATTGATGTAAGATTTTTTTAAATTAATAATTAATGGAGTCAACATTACAAACAACAGAAAACTAAAGATAAACATTTTATTTAAGATCAACATTAGCCTAGAACTGTTGACAGTGTGAAAACTATAAACTATTTATTTGATTAATTAGCATATCAAAATTATCTGCTTCACAGACATGATAAACGAAGGAAAAGCTACAGTTGCTCAGTTTTGCTTTAGGGCTTTTTGCTGACTTGATGTGTGTCCACTTTTCCACTCAACGAGAAAGGTCAATGCTGCAAGTTCTTCACCTTTATGCTCTTATTAGAAAAGTATATCGTAATAAAAGTGGGAATAAAGAGCAATTTTCAAGCAGTGAAATTGTAATATATGTACAGGTGAATAGATATTTGTGTCTTGTCTGTTTTGATAGGTTTGTTCACTCATATCCTATTGGATGAAGCGGCCCAGGCCATGGAGTGTGAAACCATCATGCCTTTTGCTCTAGCTAGCAAGACAACCCGCATCGTGCTGGCTGGAGACCACATGCAGGTAAGCGGACAAAGAGACAGGTAGACGGTAACGTAATGTCAGATAGAATTCAACTTTGAGCTTGTAGAAGCCTCAAAAGTGGCCCTTTTTAAAGACTAACTGTATCTATACTATGTGAATTGCTATATAATAACAACAACTACATTATAGTGTCTTGGGGTCTCAAATGCTTGAAGAGGTTTTTCTTTAGCCCAAAGTCAAAACACTTAAGGAGATGGAACAAACTACAGATGGTAGTTGGGATATCAAGGAATAGTAATACCATTTTGCACTTTGCTTATTATTAGGTTCTTATCTGACCTACTTCAGAAAACAAAGGAACAGGCAGCAGCTACTGTGGCTCTGCGGTTTTAGAGACCACTTCAACCACAAAAAACAAAATATAAACTCATGTCAGTCAAGCTTTCTAAGCCAACACAAGGAATTAAAACCTAATTTCCTCGTCTGCTGGTTTTAAGACGGTGCACAGGATTACCGGTAGTGAAGTGGATGAAGATGCAGCATGAGTTGTGCTTAAATTACTTGATCTCTCTATTTCTTGGAGGAAAGAAAAACCGTATTAAGGCGCAGTGTCCACCAATGCATCCATATGTTTCTTTCCCAGTCACTCTCAGCTTTCTTCTGTCGACTCGTCCTGTATAGATCACTACAGAAAGTTATCGTCATCATTATTTTACATTACAGTCAAACACTGTATACAGTTTCACTGACTGTCAGCAGTAAAATGTCACTTACCAATAACAAATGATTTATTTAGATATTTGGTCAAGATGGAAAAGCTTTGGTGGACTTTGTTAAAGAGGAAAAATAATGAAGGGGAAGCGTGAAATATCTTGGGTGTAATTTTAAAACTAACATAGCTTTCCTTCACTACTACTACATCCTTTTTTTTTTTTTTTTCTTTTTGTCCTCTCCTTCAATTTCCAGCTCAGTCCATTTGTGTACAGCGAGTTTGCACGGGAGCGCAACCTGCACGTGTCCCTGCTGGATCGACTGTATGAGCACTACCCCCCTGAATTCCCCTGTCGTATTCTCCTTTGTGAGAACTACCGCTCCCATGAAGCTATCATCAAGTAAGTGCCTGCTTTCCCTTGCTGCCTTGTCTTGAGTACTGTCTGAAGAGGTTGAGAGGGATGGGGTCCTAAGCTTTACTGAGTGAATATATGTCAGACACAAGCTGACTTGTGCTGCAATTTCTCAGTTAAACTGACCTGGTGATTTTTGCTAATTACTGAGACATTAAGGCTTTGGCCAGTCGAAAAGTTTGTTCCTCAATCCAAAGGGACCATGTTAGACAGCAGGTAGATAACTAGACAGTTAGCTGTGTTGCTGCTCAGGGAGCCAACTCACCTGCTAGCTGGCTCAGTGTTAAGCTCTCCACAGCCATGCTGGTGATCTGTCTTCATTGCTTTGTCCTCCTGCTCGGGCTCAGTAAAAAGTTTTTTACTGAGCCTTTTTTGCAGTAAAAAGGATTTGTCCTTTGCAACTTTAATTACTCTTGGCTGCCATCAAAATGGAAAAATAACTCATTTCTGGAACTCCATAACCAAAATTCTTGCAGTCTTTTCTTGCTGTTGTGATACTGTAACACGTTAAAAATGAACTGCTACCCCCCATCTCAACACAGGTACACAGTTATTTATTTATTTATTTATTTATTTATTTATTTTTGGCTTGCTGCCTGACATCATTACAGCAAAATAAACCTGCTCTGCTACCATTTGTTACCATTGGTAAGTCTGCTGCTTAGTGTTGTATGTTGCCAGAATAGTGCCTCATTCATCTTATTAAGCATAATACAGCATGATATCCATGATATTATAGCTTAAAGGAAAAAAGGAATAACTGTCTCAGCCATGCCCTTTGGCTGTGTCTATACACAGTCACATCACTCCACAGGTGCACGGTGGGGTAGCGTCATTTATGTGAAAGCGATTCAGTAGAAAGAATTCTAGGAGCAACTTCCTTATAGTAAAGCTTAATTTCAAGGAATGCGTGAATCATATATGCGGGACATGTGGTTCACGTTAATATCAGTTTTTGTGAACATATATTTGAAAAATTAAAAAAAATTACCAAGATCAAGCAATTGTCCTCCAAATTCATGTCACTTTTTTATTTTTCCTTTTCTTCTTCCCTTCGTAAAGCTACACGTCAGAATTGTTCTATGATGGGAAGCTAATGGCAAGTGGGAAGCAGCCCTCCCATAAGGACTTCTACCCTCTGACCTTCTTCACAGCAAGAGGAGAAGATGTCCAGGAGAAGAATAGCACTGCCTACTACAACAATGCTGAGGTATGGCCGGGGCACATGTACATATAAAGCCTTCAAGAAATATTTTTGGTCTTATAAACATCTTATGGAAATAATGTGGTTCAGTTTAAATAATTCAAGGTGTTTAAATAAGTGGCATAATGACCCCCTCTGGACTGGTACTAAATGCAACCCAAAGCATATTTAAACCAGTTTCCTGTGTTTTATGTGTATAATTAGAGGCCAATACACAGCGAGTATAAGCACTTCTAAAACATATAAACTGCTACTCACTATGGCCCCTGAACTCCACCTATTTAAACTCAGAGTGCCGTAACTGAGCTTTGTGCAAAAGCATGTTTACAAAAAAGGATGCTTTGTAAAAACTCTAATAAGATTCAGAAAAAAAAATTTGTTAAAATAAAAGATCAAGAAATGGTTTCTTACCAGTATAGTTGCCAACTTCACACATTAGCTGGTTGGAGTAATATAATACAATACAAAAATAACTAAAAGTTGAGTAGTCTTTGGCAATAAAAACCGCTTTAGCCTAGTGTCTGATTTTTACAGAGACATAATTATGCATGATTGTTAGATGTGGATCTATACACTCAACATTCTGTATTTGAATTACATAGAAATTAAAGTTGTTACCAGTCTTTGCCTTGGCAAATCATTGCAATTTGTCGCGCACATTGCCTTTTATTCCTGATTAAAGGTGAAACCCATGAACTCAAATGTGATACCAACTTAGACCTACATTAAAACATATGAAGCACAAATTACTGAGTCCGAATTTTGGATGGGTTCTTATTTAGGTTTTCAGTGGACCCTAAGACTTTATTGTCATGCTCCAAGCAATTAAAGCAATGATCGTTCTTGTTATCAATGCCATAATAGCAGTGTGCAATACAAATACACTTCTTCTTCTTTTTTATTACTAAGTTATTATACTGTGTTGTGTTGTTTGTGTTGCGTTGTGATGTGTCATATCGTGTCGTGTTGTGTTATATGTAGTGCAGACGTAGGACAGTTTTCCAATTTCATTGTACTACTGTACTATGTATGACTGTGCAATGACAATAAAGAGTTATCTACCTACCTATCTATCTATCTTATCTATCACATTAATTACCTCCTGTTTGTTTGATACAGAACTCATGGTGAAATAGTATGCATTGAGTAAAACACGCTCATACGTCTTATGTCTGTTGTGCGAGAGTCTGTTCAAAGCCTCTACCTTTAGGGCTAAGCTCAGTGAAAATTGAAAAAGCAACCACTTCAACTTTAATAACAGAATTCTTAATTCTAAAATTGTAATTCAAAAATGATTTCCATCAAAGCTTGCCAGTTATAGGAATTTTTAAACTTAAAGATGTGGCATTATCTGTCCAATAGTTTATTTTAATTTTTTTAAACAACATTTTTAAATACGCATTTCATGGGGGTCTTCAAAATGCTGCAGGCACAGCAAACTGTCACAGTTATGGTTTTATCGTGTATGTTTGGTTTCTTTTCTGTTGTTTTGGAGTCTCATTTCCTTAAAATTAAAGTTTGGATTGTATATAACTTATTTTTGAGTTTTACCAAGAAGTCACACCTCAGCCGTGGTTAGGGATGGGTATTGAAAAGATTTTCACGATTCCGATTCCATTTTTGATTCTGTTTAACTATTCGATTCCTTATCGATTCTTTTTAAAAAAGGAGAGCACTAAGGTTGATTTGCTTAGAACTTTGTTTTATATCTTCTCTTTGAACAAGATAGAAATTTAGGAGCCTTACAAACCCAACAGTGACATCTTAAGAGATCCACAAAGGGTTGCAAATGGGTGCAAGCCTTTGCCCACAAACTTAGTCACTGCTCGGTGACATTGGTCTATCCTGGCCTGAAAGGAGACGCTACCGGTAGACTGCAGCAAGAACTGCCAGTATCTGAGCCAGCCAGACTCTGTCTGTCTGTCTCATCATGGTCACCTAAATGCACAGTAATGGCAGATTTTGTAATAAGGCAGACCTGTTGTCATCCGTTCTCGTAAAGTATAATCAAACTTTTGGGCGTTTGAGCCGCTTAGGCGTTATGTTTCCTGCCAGGTAAATGACGCTCCGCAACGTGGTGACGTCATTCGGGGCGACTGGAATTGATACGGGAATCGTTTGCAAAAATGGCAAACAATTCCAAGGAATTGAAACAGTGGGAACTGGTTCTTGTTGAGAACCGGTTTCCACTGTTTTCGATACCCATCCCTAGCCATGGTAGTTGGGCTACCTTTAAAAATGAGATTTTTAAGCATTTCATTAGGCATGAGTCCAGATAAGTATTGTCAGGTAGCATCACCTTAGAGTGGTTGTAGAAAAGATCAGTCGTGAAGGTAAATCTTTTAGATGAACAGTCAGCAGAGATATGTGGCATACCTAGGAAAAAACTTTTGTATTGATTTCATATTGAACTAACTGAACAAATGCTGTTGGAGAATATAGCTCAGTCCAGTTATTTAACATTTTACTTTTTATTATTTATTTATTTGTCAGGACTGATGCTTCATGTTAAAATTGTATTTTTAAATGAATATTAATTGTTTTGCAAGCTTTAAAGTTGTTTAAAGAAGACCCTAAATCCAAATGTCTTGATTCTCTCTCCAAAGGTATTTGAGATCGTGGAACGGGTGGAGGAGTTGCGCAAAAAGTGGCCAGTGGCCTGGGGGAAGCTGGATGAAGGCAGCATTGGGGTGGTGTCGCCATATGCTGACCAGGTGTTCCGCATTCGTGCTGAGCTACGGAAGAAGAGAATGCCTGAGGTCAGCGTGGAAAGAGTGCTCAATGTCCAAGGTGAGGAACAAATATTTACTAGCACATCCTGTGCTTTGTGTCTCATGTGTTAAGATGATACATCTCTATAAGTAAAAAGAAAATATCTTAAATTAATGAGCTGATATTTTAGGATGGCTTTGGTAGTATTCTATGTTAGCAAGTGTTAAACCATCATCATAATTAAAGATATCTATGGTAAGGCATTCGAAAAGACAAACAATATAAACAAGTTCAGAGCATAAATCCCAAAATGCTTAATTCTGTGAAGGTTGTCTCCTATTTTTCTCTTTGAGATGTTGCTTAAAATGAAGGAGACAAAATAAACAAATGCCTTCAATCTTGGGTGTAGCTCGAATGTATTCATATTGTGTCTCATATGATTTGTACAATAAGTCTTTTTTTCCCCAAGTCTCTTTTCTGTGTCAGTCTCACACAGCTTTCATTTGTATCACATTCAGCTGCTTTCTACAGGTCATTAGCTCCCTCATTAATCATACATGAAACACATGGACACGGGAAAAAAAACTCGAGTTAGTGGTTAGTAGTTGAATTTAACAGATTTACGTAATGTTTTTCAACAGTTTCTTTCAACAGGCAATACAGGTATACTTATTAATAAACATTTATTTATAAACAAGGTAATTACCATTCATTCAGGTTCCAGTAATATAATAAATGTCACATAAGCTACTGGAGAAATTTATTTGGCCACAACTTTAGTTGATTGTTGATAGTTGGTTGTCTTCGGTAAGGTCTTGTAAACTATAAAGTTTTGCCTTTTTTCTCCTTTTCTGTGTTTTGTTGGGGTTTTTTTTTTTTTTTTTTTGATAGTGAAAGTTTAATTGAAATGTAGAATAGCAAGTTCCTAAAATCTTCTTCCAATAATTATTTTGATTTCAAACGAGTTACTTTTTGTTTGTAATATTTTCTGTTGTCATACTGTTATGTGTAACCACATCTTTTTAAATAAATCTTTTTAGAATTTTCCAAAGATCTGTTCTTAAGTTTTCTGAGTTCAGCACTGTTTTTTTAGAGGGCTTAAAAATGTTTTATTTTAAAAAATGTTTGCAGGTAAACAGTTCCGGGTGCTGTTCCTTAGCACGGTGCGTACACGGCATACCTGCAAGCACAAGCAAACGGCCATCAAGCGCAAAGAGCAGCTGGTTGAGGACTCGACAGAGGACCTTGACTATGGTTTCCTGTCCAACTACAAGCTGTTGAATACAGCCATCACCAGAGCCCAGTCCTTGGTTGCAGTTGTGGGAGATCCCATCGCGCTATGTTCTGTTGGGCGTTGCAGGTAAATATAGCCTAATTAATATTTTCATATTGTTGGTTACTAATAATTTTGTCTCTATACACCAGCACAGTGCATTTTAAATCAGACTGCCAAGGTTTGATTGAAATGCAAAGTTTCAGGTTTAATTAAAACTACTATATTAATGGTTTAGGAGTTGATCGTTTGGTAGATAGTTTGATAGTCTGATAAATTAAGTGCATAAAAGTTATCAAGTGTCGAGTTTGTTCACGTGTGAATATCTGCTTATTTTTCACCACATAGAGAGCAATGGGGTACTCTGATAAACCATAATTGGGTCACTACTAGCTGCCAGATCCTCTCTGTACTCGCTGTCTCCATAGCAGCTGTAGTTTGGCTTTGCTTATGTTTTGTTTATGCTATTATGCAAACAAAATGTCTCAGTCAGTGTAGTAGCTGTTATTCAATATTTATACCTTTTTATTAACTGAACAGGTTAAATGATTGCCTCTACCTGCAATGTGTTATAATTTTAAAAATATTTTTCTGATTGCCACTCAGTTCACAAGCGGCAACAAAAACTCTGTACTTCTTTCTTCCTAATGAGAGCTAGAAAAATACAGTCTGCACAGTCGGCAGAATAAGTACCATTTTCCTTTTCTATTTTTTCTTTTAAAGGGTTATTTACTCATCATTTAATCAGATTAGGACACAATCGATAGCCTGCCCAACAGTTCTCTCATAGCAGTTCCCATTTTATCCTAATGTTGACACCTACTTGACTGCTAGTGATAGAGCTAATCCTACAGCACAAAAGTTTGTTTTTGAAATGTGAATGTCTTATATCGCCATATTCTTTTGACTGCACATTTCAGGACAGAAGAGAACTAAAGTCAGATGACAAATTAAAGGAAAAAGCGGCTCAAAATGCTTTTAGTAGGTTTTTAGGGGGTTTACAATGACTCTTAAAATTAAGTGAGAAGTTGCCTCAAGCCGGGCCAGCAAAATGCCAACGACAGTATAACAGCGCCACCAGGTTCCTCACAGTTCAAGGGTTTAGGGTTTTTCTATTAGTTTGTTAGCCATCTTTTATAGACAGCTGTTGTTTGTTTGTTTTAATCATACCAATGGAAAGCATTGTGTTCTAAATACAGTACACAATGCTTTAGAAAGATTTTTCCTTTTCCTCGTTTTCCTTCTTCCCCCTAGTTTTTCTGCACTTTGCACATGCCTCTTTGCTATAAATAGTTGTGATCTTTTATGTTTATTCCCCAAGGAGTCATTTGTAACACTGGCAGAAAAAAAAATTGAAAAAAAAAAAATGTTTTTGTTTTTACCCACTTCCAGAAAATTCTGGGAGCACTTTATTTCCATTTGCCATGAAAACTCGAGCCTACATGGCATCACCTTCGAGCAGATTAAGGCTCAGCTGGAGGCCCTGGAGCTCAAAAAGACCTATGTCCTCAACCCATTGGCGCCAGAGTTCATCCCTCGTGCCCTTAGGCCCCTGCAAGGACACCATTCGTCTTCACAGGCCCTCCATCCCCACCATCATCCGCATTCTCAGCATGCACAGCCAGCCTCCAACAAGCAGGGCCCCCAACAGCAGCAACAGTCACCTCCTAAGGTAAGGTGTTTTTCAGTGTGGAGGGCAAAATGGAAAGAAAAAATACTGCATTTCCATTTTTTCATAAGTATTTTGAATAATAATGGTAATGCTGATGGTTATTATAAACAAAGCTGAAATGGTAACACTTTAGGAAAATGCAGACACCTATCAAATTCACCAATGTGTCATGTCCGATAAGTTCATAATTTAGTTACTTCATGAATAAAGAAATAGTCAGAATTCACATTAACTAAACCTGTGGTAGTCAGAAGTTTCTTGAAGATGTTTCTCCTGTCATCCTCTCATTGGATGAGAGGTGAGATATAAAACTTTTATGCTGCAGCTGCTGATTGTCATAGTAACACAACCCACTTCCCTGCTTGGAAGTGATTTTGAACTCAGCCATTGGAAACACAGTGACCCCCATCAAGCATTGGAGAAATTTGACATGGTAAACAGAGCAAAGTCTAAGAGGACTGAATTTGAGCTGAGAAGTATAATTTGTTTGTTTGGGTTTTTTTGTTTGGTTTTTTTCTTTGCTTGTGGAAAATTGACATCCATCACTGTCTGCATATTGCTGTGTATTCCCATTGTCATATTTATGGCTCTCTACCTTTAACATAAGTAGGCTTCAAGATGATTTAAGAAAAAAAAGGAAAAAAAGCAATAAAGACAGTTAAACACTCATATTTGTACTAAATTACAAAAATAAAAAAATTGGCTCAGTTGGATTTTTCTTCCACTGACTATTTTTTAACCTAATATGCATGCAGAAATAATTATTATTTTATCACATTTATTTATTATATTTTTTATATTATGTTATTTGTTGTCATATTAATAATACAGTATATAGTGATATTTGAAAGCTAATTGTTTATACTATATATGTGTGTTATTGTTTGTCTCAGAGGGCCTAGGGTGTTGACAGGTTTTTAGGATTCATTTGCCTTAGAAGAATCTTAAATGATGTTGAATATTTTTTTATTTTTTTATGCTAATCCAATATTCATGTTAGGTAAGAACACACTGGTTTATCAAAATAGAAAGCAAATTATCAGAAATAAATTGAGTGCTACCTACTTTTATAGAATAAAACTTATAAAAGCTTTCCATATGTGGGTGCAAATCAAATATCTGAACAAATGACTCACACAGGAAATAATTTTATAATCAGTCCAGTATTCCAAAGGAGGGGGGGGGGGGGGGACGGGACCAACAGAATATTAGCATAACCTGTTTGGCAGAAGATCTGTTAATTGTTTAGGTCAGGATGAAATGTCTGCCTCGCCTCTGTGTCTGCACTGAGGTAAAGGTTAACGAAATCACCACTGCTGACAACCTGCTGCCATCACCCACTGGGCCTAATGAGCTGGAGCTCCGCAGTAGCAGCCAGCTTTACAGACTCACACGCTTCTATTTGCACAGTCATACTTACAACTATGCTAAATATGCAGATAAACATTTGCAATTACACTATTATGCAGAATGTGCTAAATATTCTATATGTATTTATGCACAGTTTGATGTTCATTAAAAGGTCAAATCTTTTTTTCTTTGTACACCGTGTAGACGCTACACATATCGTTCTAATTTATTTCATAATGACAGTATGCCCTGCAGTGGATTCTGATGTTGGCTTGTATTTGACTGCTTCAGTGCATCATTTTAACATCCATTGCTGATAGGGCTGCCACAAACGATTATTTTGATAGTCGACTAGTCACCGATTAATTTTGCAATTAGTCGACTAATCAGATCATGCATCCATTGGACGTAAAACGTACAACTTATTGAACCAGCATGCATCTGCTCTTATATAACTATCATTAGCTTACAGCTTTA